GCAAGGTCCTTCGGCAATTTTTTGGCATGCCAAAGATTTTGCCACCGCTCACGAAGTTGCTGCCGGAGCCTGAGAAACTCCACCGGCGGTCATACGATGGCTTAAGATGCCCTCACGAATGGCCCGCTGTTGTTACGATCAGAGCCGAATTTGAACATTTCCTTTATCGTGTGTCCATCTGGTGTCAATTTCGGGACAGTGTGACAGGGGCTTTAAGAAGAGGGACCAATGAAAACGTTGTCATTTTGCCGTTGTTCAGCATCGAAACGTTCATTAGCTAACAATGACATTATTGTTCTATTAATATAAAGGGAGGTCAGTTACTCTATAAAACAGTTGGTAGTTATGGGTACTTTTTACTTAAAGGCCCCCTATTATACTGTTTTTCATCAATATATAATAGGTCTCAGATACAAAACATGTCTCTGAAGTGTTTGGCTTGAAATACCCAACAGATCATGCATTGCAGCATCCCATAAACCCCTCTGTTTCAGCCCTGTTTCAAAAGTACTGATTCTCTGTCTTTCACTTTAGATGAAAATAAGGAGCCACTCCCAACGCCCCTCTGAGAGATATTTGGTTAAAAAGAACACAATGGTGCTCTAGGAGGAGATTCAGGTGATAAGGTGGGGGGGGTTACCTTGGTTGGTAATTGGCTAATGGTTACACAAGCCAAAAAATCGTTATGACATCATAAAGTGGCCAAAATCTGATCAGCTCATTTTCAGGTTTTTAATATAAATGTATCAGGACAAAAAGTGAGCGAATCTTTTTTCCTGAAACTTTCAGAATCTCTTTACACAGAGAGGACACATGTCTATGTATAAAATACTTATAAAAGTGCATTTTGCATGATAGGTCCCCTTTAAGTACATTTCGAAGCCCATACTTCTTTACTTTTACTTGAGTAAAGAAGTTTAGTCCGTACTTCTACTTTTACCAGAGTATTTTTAAACACGACTATCTGTACTTCTACTTGAGTAAAGGATGTGTGTACTTTTGCCATCTCTGGTTGTGCCTTAAAACCAAAAGAGAAGAAGGAGAACACTATTTGCAGACATTGCTTGAACGCAGCAGGATTTTAGTTAAGTCAGAGAATTTTCAGCTGACTGCAGTTTCCCTCAGTTTTGTTTGAGTCCAAAATCTCCACCCTCATTAAACTGTTTTTGCAGCCACAGAAGAGATAGCTGACCCCTGCAAACTTAATTTTGCATAAATATGCAAGCAGTCTGTCTTATAAAACCAAGAAATAAGAGAGACTGACCAAATGCACTTGGATAAAACATATATTGTTTGTGTGTGCAGCCCATCACCAGCAGATGGTGTAACAATCCTTTACAGAGTGGCCTTTAGTCTTGACACCAGCAGCCATGTAATTCCATCAGAAGAACAAGCTAGTCTTGCAATAAGCCTTTTCCACATCTGAAATGTTGGCATCTCATTAGTGTTTATTTTTGGCTGCCTGCATTGCATTCAGTTGTGGCAGTTGAGGGTTCCTGATACTGTGTGTGTTGTATTACTTGCACGGGGTTTACTACATTAAAAAAAGGGCCATAGTTAATATTTGAATAGGCTTCACCTTTGTTTTTTCTGCTTAAAAGTCAAAACTCATAGTGTGTCGTTTTTTGATGTGTTACACACGAGACTGTTTAAACTGCAATGGGCCTTGTACAATAAATGTAATATTAATCATGTGAAAACATTGTCTTTTTGTGTTTTTTTAAGATTTAACAATGATCACAAAGACCTTAAAAACAAAACTGAATCAATTGCTTTTGTTTTTACTGAATTTTAAGGTCAGTTTTTGGCAAAAAATCTGTGAAAATTGTTTTGTTTTGTTTTGCTAATGGAAACACAGCATTGGTCATTGTGTTATCTAGCTCCATATTTAGTTATGGAAGTTAGCAATGCTATATAGTAGTTTGGTTTCAGTATTTTTATCACCGTAACAGCTCCTTATGGGTCTTACTTACTGAAATGTGATACATGTCTACTGAATTGCAGGTTAATTACATAAACATTCTAGGAGAGGATGTGGCAGTTGTGGAGGTCTACAAGTACCTGGGAGTGCACTTAGACAATGGGCTGAACTGGAGGATCAACACTGACGCTGTGTACAAGAAGGGGATGAGCCGACTCTATTTTCTGAGGAAGCTGAGATCCTTCAACGTATGCAGTAAGATGCTGGAGATCTTCTATCAGTCTGTTGTGGCTAGTGCACTCTTCTTTGCTGCGGTCTGCTGGGGGGGCAGCATCAGAGCCGGTGACACCAGCAGGATCAATAAACTGATCAGGAAAGCTGGATCAGTCATCGGCATCAAGCTGGACCCCTTTGAAGCTGTGGTGGAGAGGAGGACACTGAACAGGCTGTTGTCCATCATGGATAACCCCACCCATCCTCTCCACCTGCAGCTGGACAGTCAACGGAGCTCCTTCTCCAACAGACTGCTGCAGCTCCCCTGTCACAAGGACAGATACTGGAAAACATTCCTGCCCACTGCAATAACACTGTACAATAAATCACCTCTGGCTGGAAGAGAACTCTCTGCTCCATAGTTTCTCTAGAAATAAAACCACGTTGTACATTTTACTCATACATAATCTGTTTCATATTTAATACTCCATAATTCCATATATTTTGAATATATATATATTTGTATATATATATATAATATCTGCATGTATATTTTCTATTTCGACATGTATATTTTATATTTTATATTTTATTTTATTTCTATTCTTGTATATTTTGTTTTATTGTAAAATGCCTTTTATGCTGCTGTAACAAAAACAATTTCCCAATTTGGGATCAATAAAGTACGATCTATCTATCTATCTATCTCTCTTTTATCTCAAACTCATTACTCTGTTGGTATGACCACATTCAAGGAAAGTAAGCCTATTACTAAAGTGGCTTAAGAGGTTCACAAAATAGAACCAGTTACATCAATGAGCTCAAAATCAAGGCAGCTTAAACGCATAATGAGTAGGTGAGCATTATTTGAGGTAATTAATCAAAACTTTAGTAGATATTTAATCACTTGTTTCTTTGAGTAAGTGACATGGTATGCATGTGTCAAGGGTAGATTGTATAGCTAGCACATAATGTTCTTGTTTACAACTGTTCCCAGGCTTAGCAGCGATATCATAACAGACCATGTCTGTGTAACAGTCTGCACAAATTGCAACACTAAAATATGTAGAGGCACATTGATTGAAGGTGTCTATGCCCAAACAACAAAACTCAATCACTGTTATTTGATAATATTCAGGGTGTCCCACACATAGACTATACTTGGGCGGGCCGCCCAGGTATATTAACGGCCGCCCAAGTATATTTCGCGACCCATTTAAAAAAAAAAAAAAAAAATTTATAATATATTTTTTTTATTTTTGTTGACGCCTTTTGCGATCGAGTAACTTGTGGACAATGATCCCTCGCTCTACGCCTCCTGTACCCAGTCCCGGACTGGCCATCGGGAGGACCTTTCCCGATGGCCTGGCCTGTTAAGTGCACCTGCCTCACACAGGGTGACTGGCTGTCTACATGATGTAGCCTGCCGACATGGCCACTGTCATACAGATCATAAATCAAAGCCCTCGATTGGTCTCTGTGTAAACTCGGGATAACATAGCTCAGGTGAGGTAAAGGACTCTCTGAGTGTTTAGATAGTTAACTTAGTCTAAGTTCTCAGTGGGTCTCAAACGGTTTGGTCACCATTTATGTAAACACATATTTCCATTTGAGGGGGTAGTGATTAGTAAAATATGCATGAATAAAAAAGAAAAAAGTTAACTAGGGGAAAAAAGGTAAGATACACTTTATGATTATTGAAATGTATACAGTTATGTTTCATATAGGTGTTCCCATAGATCTAGTCTCTTTATTTTCCCCTGAAAGTGCACCAGATTGATGCATTTAACTCCAAAATAAAATAAAAAATCTAAATAGTAACCCATGTCCATGTTTATTTGTGGGTAGTAGATTTAAACTATAGGGCTATCACTATGGGCCCTGCCTGTACCTGTTCGCTCTGCCATGGCGTGAAGGGTCTGCTAAACAAGCGACCAACAGAAAGGTTAATGTTAATGTTGTTGCACGTCACAAAGGCACGTCACCTCAAATGACATTTGGTTGATCTTATCTGCCCCACTCCCCCCCTATTCAGGATTTCAATATTGTATCTGGGGCTTATTATTCTCAATATTTAATATATAGCCCGATAATTTAAACTGAATCATTCAATAAAACAATATTGTAGTTTTTAATCTCAAATCAAGTACAAATACCTGCAATTCGTAGCCTGCAAGTTTACTTCTTAATTACATTCCACCAATTGTTTGATTTAAAAACTATTTTAATTATAAAGACTGACTTAGCTGACTATTATTAAAGCGTTTTTTTCCAGCAGCTCCCACTGACCGGCCCACCGGATCATTCAGGTTTGAACCGTGTATAGTGCACATGGAGGCTGGTCCATCGGGGCAAAAAATAGTAGCGACTCTTTTGGTAATGTCTGCGGAGCGTGCAACTCCTTTAGAGGGAGAGAGCAACGCGCCAAGGACAGCGAGTAAAAATGTCACAGCCACGGGGTCACAGCAAAGCAGAGAACTGTGAAACGAACTAATGACTGTTTGGAAATTACGTTTTTGCACGCTTTTATCATGAAGAGCGATTAAAATATTACCTCTTAATTAAGACAGGTGCTAATTTAGCGCAAATGCTCTCCATTTACACCAGAGAAGGTTGTTTAAAAATACAACAAAAAGACCAGTCTACATTTGGATTATAATAGATCAACAACATTATGGGGGAAAATGGGATGATAATAAATGGGACTGGGAGGAATTCTCATCATCCTCTTCCTCACGGTCACGGGAGGGTCTGGTGCCAAAATGCCTATCACTGATTGGCTAAGAGGTGGGCCTCCTCTGCCAAGCCCACAGCACCACTGAGTATATATGTGCACCTAAGATGCTAGAGTCAAGAAGTAAAGGACGTTTTGGATAAGTGATATTTAACCCAACTTGTTATCCTGCAATACATCTAAAAAGGTAATTTGATTTTGTTTTTTAAATGAAGAATATTTGAATTATTTGGATGTTACTTGACAAATAATGCGTTTGTTTGTTTACAGTGAGATGAAGACCCATCAGCCTCTTCATGTGGCCACTCCGCTGAGGCAGAGCCTTGCCCTGACTAAAGTAGCTGGGACTTCAGTTTACCTCAAGCTGGATTCATCTCAGCCCACCGGATCATTTAAGATCAGGGGCATCGGACACCTCTGCAAAACTGTGAGTACTTCTTCTCTGTTTTGGGGTGATTGGACATTTCCTGTGTTGTGTCGTGCTAAACTTAGATTAAAAAAAAGGTGGAAGAATTACTCAGTTCCTTTAATTATGTAAAAGTAGAAATACTTGGATCTTCAAATACTCAATTTAAAGTAACATTTGTGACCTCAAAATGTTACTTGAGTAGATATACAGAAGTATTATCAGCCAAATGTACTCAAAGTATAACAGTAAACGGAAAAAGTACACGGAATGCAAAATGGCTCCTTTTATAGTATTATCATAGAATATCTATCCTGATTTGTATCACTTATTTATAAATGTAAGAGCAGTTTAATGTTGTAGTTTGTCAATGTTGAGCCAATTCTAGATACTTTGTGTCAAACAAATGTACTGGAGTAAAGTGTATGGTATTTGCCAATGAAATTTGGGGGAATTTAAGTTTATAGAAGCATGAGAAGGAGATTCTCAAGATAAGTGCAAATATGTAAAAGCAGTACTTAAGTAAAGTGAAAATAATTTTGTTACATTCCACTATTGACCATAATGACCCAGGAAAGACCAGTTTAGGTGTGTCAGTCAGACAACTGGGATTTTTTTACACTGTGTCTTTTGATCCTGACTGTTATGTCTCTTTTTCTTGTAGTGGGCAGAGCGAGGGTGTGAGCGGTTTGTCTGCTGTTCAGGTAAGCACTGAAGCAAAAACATTAAATCAATGTTAGAGTTATCTTTGCCTCTGCCGGTGTGTTTGAGTGTGTAATCTTTGAACCCTTTTGGTTCCAACAGGTGGAAATGCTGGTATGGCCGCAGCTTACTCCGCCCGTCAGCTCGGGGTTCCGGCAACTATAGTAGTACCAAGTGTTACACCAAACCCAACGGTGGAGAGGCTGAAGGACGAGGGCGCCACTGTGGTGATCCATGGCAAGGTAAACTAATCTCATTTGTTGTTTACTACAATCTTTACATCATAATGTCATATTTTTAAGCATAAATAGGATTAGTTAAGGTGAATTCTGGAGACATTTGAATTGCAATTCAAACAGGCTGACAACGCAAAATGGTTCAACACATGACATGATGTTGTGTCTCTTTCAGGCACTAAATGAGAGCATTGAATATGGACAGCAGCTTGTGGCAAACAACCCCAGCTGGATATTCATTTCTCCCTTTGATGATCCGCTCATCTGGTGAGTTTATCTGAGTCCGCCTGTTGTTCAGGGGTTGTGACAGCATGTACATTACTCTGTACTGTGAAGGAATTCCTGCATAGAAATCTATCTGTCATGAACAGATAAGAGACGGAGACGTGATTAGATGTGAACATTGAAATACTTTTAGGATGTGCAAATGACTGATAGTAACTGTGTCTTATTATGCGGTGTCATCATACATGTATGAAGTGTTATGTCAGATAACATGGTATCTTATCACAGTGCTTACTTTATGGGGTGATCACATGTCACAGTCAAAATGTTACCAACAACCATAAATACAGTGAATCTCCTGATATGATGCATTCAAGGAAAGGCTGTTTCTTTCTCACATTTTAATAAAAATGCATCCAGATTACTTTGAAACTAACAGGGTCTGTGTTGTGTTCATGTGTGCAGGGAAGGCCACACGTCTCTGGTGAAGGAGCTGGAGCAGGACCTGAAGGTGAAGCCGGGAGCCATCGTGTTGTCAGTGGGAGGCGGAGGCCTGCTGAACGGGGTGGTGGAGGGACTGCGCCGTGCATGCTGGGCTGACGTGCCCATTGTAGCCATGGAAACCATTGGAGCACACAGCCTCAATGCAGCAATGAAGGCTGGGGAGCTGGTCACTTTACCTGAAATTACCAGGTAATTCATAAACAAAGATATTATACCCAAATGATAACATTATCTGCTTTTTCTCACATAGTTCCTAGGATTGACCCTTCTTCTTTGCTCTCTAGTGTTGCAACCACTCTGGGCCTGACGAGGGTGTCTGCACAGACGTTTAAACTGGTGGGGGAGCACACGGTTTTCTCAGAATTAGTCACAGACCAGGAGGCTGTAAAAGCTGTGGAGCACTTTGTTGGTGAGTACAACCTGCTCCGTCACACTGATCCAAAGAATAGGTCTTAAACTGCTGCAATGAGACTGATCTCTCTCCTGGTGTGTCCTCTTCCTGCAGATGATGAGAAGATCCTGGTGGAGCCCGCCTGCGGGGCCGCCCTGGCAGCCGTGTACAGCGGCGTTATCAAAAGGCTGCAGGGCGAGGGCAAGCTGGCACAGCGTCTCGGCCCGGTGGTCATCGTGGTGTGCGGCGGCAACAACATCAGCATGGAACAGCTAGCGAGGCTGAAAAAACAGCTCGGTATCGTCTAGTGCGTCCAACTACCTCAGGTCTTCCTGACCTTTCCTCTATTCCTTCATCTGCTGGTCTCGATCCTTAAACCCCCGCCATTCACGCGCTCCATAGACCGAATCATTCCAGACTGAGACACTCCTGAGCACTGACATGTGGACAGAGATGCTGGAGGGATTGTTTTTTATCTTGTAAAGCCTTTGTTATTGTGATGATGTTCTGGTAGAGGTCGTTTTTCGACTTTGAACAAAAAAAGTACACCGACACTTTCAGGTTGTATTGGTTTTAAGTTTGCCGGTATGTTGTTCTTCTGCTTTTGTACATTGAATTGTATTTAAAAAATAATAAATTATATTTCTGAATATTCTGCCTAAAGAATCATTTCTCCACCGAGACAATTTCTTATTCCTGACTGAGGATAGGATAGCATGTAAGAAATGTAGTAGAGAAATTCCAAATGAGGTTAATCTTCCTTATTATCTCTTTAAACAAACATCCCAAAAAAATGCTTCATTATAAGTTGTGTGTTTATACAATGTATTTATGTATTGCATTTGTCATGGATGGCCCCTTGACATGACTTCTGGATGTCTGACAATGTAAAGTTATTACTTTGGCTACAGCTTAAATACTATTCCTCCCATACCATTACACTATTCATTGTAAGACAATTCATGAATAGCCCCGGCCTCAGTAGCTTACTCTCTAATAAGGTTCCTCTCTCCTCAGTGAGTGCTTTGGCAGACACAATGCATACACAATTACATATTTGAGCCGCTGTGGTGCTTTATGAATAAATTAGCTAAATATAAAGTTCTCGAACTAAGTAATTGACCTAAGTAATTTTGTCAACATAGACATCCTAAAATTAGGTTCTTAGTCATCAGCAGTGTTTGCCTTCCAGATGAAGGGGCACTTTAAAGGAAGAAGCTGTTTATAGGTCAGTCGCACGTCGCATGACCAGAGCAGACATCTCCACACCTTTTGAACACACTGAACAGAAGTCATTCAATTGGCTGGAGTTTTGGGGATGTGGCCCTTTTCCAAGTTTCTCATTGGTCTGGGGCTCATAAAAGCATGTGACAGGGCCCTTATGTCACAAAGAGAGGAGAAGGCTGTGTGTGAGGGACAGTTGGTGATTTAACCAACAAGTCAACATGCTAGGGACATTCCTAGAATTCCTCCTGGGAAACCTAGACTTGGCATTAAACATTTAAAATATTACAACTTGATACAGTTTATAATAACTGTCTCGCCTAAACTGTCTAGCCTAAACTGACAGGTACTTGAAATGATTTATAAAAGTAGACTGGAAACAATATTACATTTATTTGATAGGATTTATATACATATACTAGTTTATGTGACGTATTTCATTTTATTTGGTATCATTGTTTGTTTAATTACATTTATATCTGTTTTTGCTGAATGTGCTGTATAGCTTGGGGTGTGTGCAGTATTCTGTGTTGTACTGTGCATTGTTTGAACAATCAATGACATTTTTTTTTAATTAAAAATACCAAAAAGTTTACTTATATATAGATTGATGTTTTTGTGAGAACACGCTGTTCTCAGTTACACACTGTTGGTAGTCCACAGTATAGCTTAGCTTCTGGAGCAATTGGAAATATATCTTATTAACTGAATTTACGGTGTAACAAATAAATATCTGACCAATTATTTGAGATGTTTACTGATGAAACCTTGCTCCTATAGTTACGTATAGTTCCCTTTGAATAGAGCGTATAATGAGCAGGAGGGACAGTGAGTCAGTGAAAAGCATGACTGGAGATCCAGCTGGAACTGGCCTGGCCCAGATCTGAAGGTGTCTGGTTTACAAGCAGTTGTGACGAAACCAGAGTCGCAGGGTCCTTACATAAAGGGCATGTCCTAAAGCAGGCAAAACATGTTTTCACAGGTGTCAATCACCATGACCAACACTCATTGTCTGTGCACACATGTAACAAGCATGTCCGCGCTGTTCAGATGTTATGCAAATGATAGTAAAAAAAAAAGATTTATGAAACCTGTTTTCCCCAACCAGACTGGATGTTTATCCCCGCAATGTCTTAAAGAAAAAATAACTAAAATAAGCACAGAAATGTAGAAGGGCAATATATAAAATACATAAAGCAGGACGCAGAATTTTTTACATGAAGACATTTCTTTATTGTGACACAGAAATCTCAAATGCCATCCGATTCTTTACATCTGTATAATCCATTTTAGATATGTTACGTTTCTGATGTGCAGAGGTAAGACAGTAAAAGTTAAGTTAATGCAACCATAAATAATTGTAATAAATATCAAGTAAATGTACAGCACACATTTTTATCGCAACACCTCTTGTATGGATATGTCCTTTTATAACCTTATCTACTCCCCCAGAAGAGGAGGAAGTAGAGGAGAGAGCGTCCCTGTTAGCAGCGGTGTGTCACCCTTCAAAGAACTGAACCAAAATCAAAACTTGCAAGCAATTCAACAATCCAATATCCGTTATGTGTCAATTCTGGGCTGTATTTCAGTTCTAAGTAAAATGGCGATCTTACTCACACAAGAAAACATGTTTCACCATGAGTAGAAGAAAATGAATCCATCTGAGTACAAGACAAAAGGTGATAAGATTACTGGTATTTCCAAAATTCATAAAAAATAACAACACAACAAACGGGATATCCAACAGACATCGCCCAGTTTGCTCATTTTAGAATATTTTCTTGGAAGAGTAGTGCAAACGAAAAAGAAAAAAAATTATAAGGTGAAGTGAGTTAGCAATTAATAAAAACTGCCATCAAACATAACTTCAGTCTATTTACATTTTTTTTCTTTGATTTTTTACACAGCTAAACATTTGGTTATGGGTAAAAGAAAGAAAGAAAAATAAACAATAAACAGCAGAATCCTGTTCTTCTTTTAATAAAGAAAACTATAAAAAGGCAGAACTCCAGATAATCCGCCGCCCCTCCCCCAGTGTGTGTGTTGGGGAGCGAGGGGGGGTTGTTGCACATTCAGTAGCAGTAGCACACAGACAAAGTAGGAGAGCGGCTCATGAGAATTTCTTCTCCTTCCAATTTTCACAAAGCAACACAGGTTTCACAAACCTGAAATGCAGGCATATCAGATCCAGCAGGCCTCTCCTCTCCACTGCCCTAACATGCCCCCAGAGCTACTCAGAGAAATCAAAGAGCAATTTCATAAACTAATAGATTATTATGACTTTTTACACGACTTAAATACCCTCTCTTCAGAGACTTGGATAAAATGTATTCAGTTTATATAGGCATAAGTTACTTTGTCCATTAGCAGTTCATTTTTTTTTTAAACAGGCAGTAAACTACATCATATCCTGTACAGCACTTGTTCCCATCTTCTGCCTGCTCATAGCGCAAAAAATAGGCAGCAACACACATCTCCTTAATGTTGCTAGTAGTCTTACCTCAAAACTCAATTCAGTGGAAATCAGTGGTTTTCTCTCCAACATCACCCTCTGCAGAGGCTCCTACAGCAAAGGCATGTTTCAGAACATCACCCCCACAGAGGGGAGACAGAGGGAGGCAGCTAGGTTAAGCTTTAGGAGAGTAACAGTTTGTGTGTTGCCTTCACAGCAGTGCAACGTTTTTCAATACTATAATGTCACCGCAGATCTGATAACATCCTGTTAAGCCGTTCAATTCACAGAACTTGACTGAATGTTGTTAAACCCTCTTAATGTAGGGGAAGGGAAAAGTCAAAACCAAAACTATGTCACAGTTGTTTCACTTCAATGCCATCATCAAACTCAGTGCAACACAGACACTTGTTAACAGTGTCAGATTAACTTCCCTGAATTCTTCACAAAAATATGCCTCAAACTAAATAAAAAAAAAAAAATGTAGCATTTGTGTAAAAACAAAGAAAGCAGGGATAAACATGCAAAGCATTAACAGCAACTCAAAATGAAATTAAAGTGGTGTGTCTCAGAGGAAGGGGAGGGGGACGCTTGTGGACGTAGGGCTGTCAAGTCTTCTTAGCCGCTGAGAGGGTCCTCGCGGTAGTGGATGGCGTATCGCAGTTTCTCCAGCATCACATCCAAAGAGCTGTACTGGGGCAGCTTCACCATGAACATACAGGTCTCCACGCGGATGTAGCGAGAGTCAGGCTGACCTGGAGAGGAGAAAAACAGCAAGGTGCATCACAACAAAATCGCTTCTGTTGCACAATGAATCGAGGTATCTACGTGAAACTGCAGGAACAAGTGATAATAAGCTTGTTTAGCTGATCAAAGTAAGTGTTATTTTATCTGTAGATAACTGAAGTAGAAAGTAATAAAAAATAGTGAGTCTGAAAACTACGATAGATCCCTCTTCTTGGAAAGATGTGAAAGTCACACATCAGAAACTATTAATCTTCCTTCATGTAACAGCTTCATACGTCAATTGTACAAATCTATTCATTTACAGACACAAGCAAGCTATCACAAACATGTCCAAGGTCTATCTAAAGTTTTAAGACAAGACGAGCTTTGATTATAGCTATCAGTACTTTCTGCACTAACAGCACTAAGAAGATAGAGAGATGGAAAGCACAGTTTAATCGCGGCTCTGTTGAAACCTTGTTAGCCATTACCTGCAGCTCCATCAGGAGGGGCGATCTTCATTGGGTACGGGGGGACGTGGGCGGTGTCGGGCCCCCCGTCCTTGCAGGGGCAGGTGAACGGTATTCTCTCCTGATTGCAGGCAAACTTAATGAACTTGCAGAGCTCCTCTTGAGTGAACATCTCCAGCGCGCTCCAGAAGAACTCGATGTGCTGGTCGGTCTCCATCAGACCCACCTGATACATGGTGTGAGCCTGCAGAGGGATTACATTTGATCAATACTTAACTGTAAGGAAATAAGGTGTTTCTCATGTAAACCACTGACATATTTATTGGTGATATAAACAGACTTCAACATTTACTGTCACAAGTGTCTGCATTACCTTAAGGAACTCCAGGTTGATGTAAGGCAGGCCGCAGGTGCGTAGCTCCATCTCTAAAGGGAGGAGCATGGTGAGTAGCTGCAGAGGAATGATGGCGCCGAGCCCTGAACGCACCGCCGTCATACACTCCACATTCTGCAACTCCCGCAGACGGAGGCTCCGCACTGCACGCGCATACATGTCCTTATTGTCCCAGCTTTAAAAACACAAACACGCGACATTTTAAGATTGAGAATGAGACTATTGTAGAGACAGTTATAAACAGTTGATAATGAGGATGGAATAAGACAACGATGGGATTCCTGTACCTGACGATGAGGCTGCGACCTCCCTGACAAAGCTCCACCTCCTC